AAAAAAAAAAAAAAAAAAAAAAAAAAAAAAAAAAAAAAAAAAAAAAAAAAAATTTAAACAGGCGTAACAAACCAATTGCAAAAATACCCTTTTGTTTTATTGTTAATCTTGCAAAATCAAATCAAATACTTATCTGGTACGGAGTTGTTGTTACAGTGGATCTCCACTGTCGCTTGCCGTATAATGTCTGCAATATCGCCAGCTACTTCGTCGATCAAGACAGAGCTTTGGCGCAGCGTAAGTTTCTTTAATGTTTCATCAACAGAGGTTAAAATAGATAATCTTTCCTCGGGATTTTGTTCCGTGCCACTACCACTACCACCACCACTACCTTGTGGTGGGTTATGAATATATGTGACAAGTTGCTTCAATATTTTCAAAAGCAGTAGCTGCGCAACGGGACTCTCTCCGCGAGCAATGAGCTTTGTCAAAAGGTTCTTCACAACAAGCGCCAGCAGCATTGTTTTGAGTAACCTTTTACCCGTGCCAAGTAATTGTAGATATACACTCAATGCAGACTCTAAATTAGCCACTTTGGCTAAAAGAAATCCAGCAGCCAAACAATCTGCAGAGGCAGGACTATCGATTTTGACATAACCAGGGTTTGTTTTGTTCCAGTGAAATAATGCCTCTAAAGCATTTGATTGCCAATACGGATCGAGGACAAGATTGTAGTATAAGCCAAGAATATCAAATCTCTTCATTTTAGCTCTAACGCCACTGTCGCAATAAGCAATCTCGCACATAATAGGGAGAATAAACTGCCGGAACGGTAGATCTATTTGCGACAAAATCTTCAAATTAGGTAAAGTACCCAATTCAAGAAACTCGGCCTCACGTGCATGATTTAACGAAAGACAATTGTAAATTATTGGCGCAATAATGTTCATTACTTCCTTGTAATGTAGCTTAGGAGGCACATACCGCTCAAGAACTCCTGCTAGAAATTCCAAAATTTCAGCCTTGTATAAATGTCGCAACACATCAGGTATACACGACATGGATCGAATAAACTTCAAAATTACCAATTGCTGAGTAAATTGCAAACTATCGTATAGTTTTATCCAAAGCTTGAAGATATCCACACTTGCTACGGATATCCTGACTTTTGTTTCTGATTGGCTAAAGAATCCCACAACGTCAATAATCTTACTTACGGCCAGCTGTATTCGCTCTTGTGAAATGTTTTCTCCTCCTCTTCTTTCTCCACCTCCACCTCCACCACCTTCTCCTCCTTTATTGAATGTGGCGTTTTTCTTTAATAGTCGATTTAGCAATACTGCAAACCAGAATAAAACTCCATGCTTTGACAATATTCGACAGAGATCTGATTTAGACCTGCTCACATCCTTTCTCAAAACCGTATGTACTGAGTCAATTGCTGTTAGTGGGAATTGAGGTGCGGTATCGAAATCTTCTTCAACAAATTTAGAAACTAATCGAAGGCCTCCGCAAGACACAAACATCGATAATGCTTTGTCTGATGCATTGAGACAATTGATAAATCTTGCAACTTGTAGTCTTACTCGCACATCGTAACTCGAGCTGCGGAAATGAGCAATTACGGGAATACCTCCTAAGAAGCAAAAGTTCTCCAATTGACCAACATTGTTTTCAAATATGTAATTTAATGTTGAAATTGCATGATACCACAATTGTTGTTGTTTGGGAAAGTCTTGTGAGCTTTCCAAAAGTTCCATCAATGTAAGAACTCCGTGGTCTCTCACAAATGTGTCATGCAGAAATGAATATTTTTTGATCAAGTGCAACATTCTTCCGGTAGTTTTAATTAAAGTTGCCACATCCTGGTCAGTGATTGAACCTATTCTGTCCAACTTACGACTCACTTTCACAACAAGGTACTCCATCTTTACTTGTATTTCTAATTCGTTTGTATCAAAGTCGTGAACATCGATTCCCAAAAATGGGTCGTCTTCTACAGACTCTTCTAAAGCTTGTGCTGAAAGTTTCATACCTCTTCCACCACTACCATCACCACCTCTTCCTGATTCTAAATTAGACCAGGAAAAGCCGCTTTCAATCTCATCAGATTCATGAAACATATTCAATAAATCGTTTTTGGAAAGCTTGGTTCTCCGAGAGATGTCAATCTTGTTCAGAAGATTGTATACATCATTCCCGTCTTTTTCAGCACCAGTATTAGTACCAAAAAAATCTTTACCCGTAGAATGCTCAAAGGAAAACTTTACTGATTTCAGCTCCTCATCAGCTCCTCCTACTACCACTACACTTTTTAAGCTGGTCATTTTTTGAAGGCTCCGTTCATCGTAATGCAACCACTGGTGTTTTAGCAAACGATTTGCACTAATACGCAACTTAGGTTGCTTTTGAAAACATTCCAATAGAAAGTCCCTCATTGCTGGTGATATACCTCTTGGCAAAGGTGGATGGTCATCTGTTCCAATAGCATGTAATGCTGCCATTGGGTTGAGGTCATGGTACGGCGGATTACCAGCGAATAATTCAATGATTGTTGCGCCTAGCGACCAAATATCAGAGGCAGTACACAAACCCTCACCACCTAAGATTGTTTCAGGGGCCATCCAGTTGGGTGTCCCAACTACGGTATTGTATTTTGCGTTTACCTTTGCAGCGACACCAAAATCAGCCAATTTCACTTCTCCTTCGTCCGTTAAAAGCACATTTCCCGCTTTGACGTCTCTATGAACTACACCTTGACCATGTAGATAATCGAGACCGGTTAATATCCCCCTCACATAAACCTTGATCTGACTTTCCAGTAGACCCTTCTTCAGTCTCTTGTAAACTTGTCTCAACGATCCGCCACCACAGTACTCCAAAATGACATTCAATGTTGTTGAATCCTTTGTGAATCCGTGATACTTTACAATGTTTGGATGCTTTAGTATTTTGAGAAGATCAATTTCACCCATAACGCTAGTTACGTCTTGCCCTGGCTCCAATCTAGTTTGTTTAATCGCGACAATCTCTCCAGTAAGAAGATTTGTCGCCTTGTACACATTTGCAAATGCCCCATTTCCAATTAGTGCACCTAGTTGATAATTTTTGAGAGTGTCATGATGCAGATGCAGATGCAGATGCGGGTGCGGGTGCGAATGCGGATGCGAATGCAAATGCGGATTTAGATTTAGATTTAGATTTAGATTTAGATGCGGATGCAGTTCCTTGTAGTTTTGAGCTGGAGTTAGCGAAATATGAGTCGATGTTGTTCTACGATGCTTTGGAGTTGACAGTAACTTTCCTTGCTCTTGCTGCGGTAAAATGCTGTTGTTATTGTTGTTGTTATTGTTGTTGCCAAAGTTTATTTGTTGTTGTTGAAGTTTAGGCAAGTAATCCAGACCAATGGCTAGTTGGTGATGGGAAATTTTTGAGCCAAATGTTTTCTCGTTTATTTTCCTAAAAGGAGAGCCCTTGTAAATGGTTCTTTCAATACTTGCCACCAGGGATAAAAGAGCAGAGTCAGTTGTTGTTGCAACAACAGCATTTGTCCCTGGGGCTACTGATTCTCTTTCTCTTTCTCTTTCTCTTGGTGATGACGATGCTTCGACATCTTTCAAACTCTGAAATTTTGAAAAGGACAATTCATTGTTAAGCTCCAAATCTTCTAGATCGCCGTCTTTTTCTGTATTTTCTTGATATTTCAACAAAAGGGCCGTTTTCTTATTGGAGTTTGTACTTGAATTGACAGACTTGGAACCTGGCTTCTCACTCAGCACTGGGACAATGAATTCGCCTACATCATTTAATTGAGAAAAATGATGGATTTGAGTCAGCATGCTATAACCTCATGATATTGAATCTGATGCCTCTACACAAGCAGACAAGCAGACAAGCAGACAAGCAGACAAGCAGACAAGCAGACAAGCAGACGAGCAGTCTCTCAAACACAAGCAGACGAGCAGTCTCTCAAACACAAGCAGACGAGCAGTCTCTCAAACACAAGCAGACGAGCAGTCTCTCAAACACAAGCACACGAGCAGTCTCTTAAACACAAGCACACGAGCAGTCTCTTAAACACAAGCAGACAAGCAGTCTCTCAAACACAAGCACACACTGTTTCTGTTCTCTTTGTTGTTATATTTGGTTGTAAAAAAATGTAAACTAAATCCGGGTAAGAGAAATTCAGGAGAAAAAAAGATGCAAGTTGATTGACGCGTTTTTTTTAAAGAGTGAAAAAAAGACACGACAATTTTTTGCAACCAACACTATCTCGCTCTGCTCGATAGTGTTGTAACAGCTAGTCGACACTATCTCGCTCTGCTATCAAACAAACACCTACATTCTTCAACTGTTGCTTACTATCAGCTCTACGCTTTATGAGATCCCCAAATACTTTTATCAAAGGTCCCTCTAGTATATATACCTACTCTCTCTATATATCTACTCTCTATATATCTACTCTCTCTATATCTATTCTCTCTATATCTATTCTCTCTCTTCTTTCTTTATATTTCCCAGCAAAACGAGAAAACAGCTCTACTCTCTCTCTAGACTATTGATCTGTATACTACTCTCTTTATATATATATCACTCTCTCTATCTACACTCTCTATATACTACACTCTCTCTATATACACGCTATCGACTAGTCTCTTTCTCTTTCAACTAGTCTCTTTCTCTTTCAACTAGTCTCTTTCTCTTTCAACTAGTTTCTTCCTACTTTCTCTCTATTTACTCTTTTCCATCCACTCTTTCTGTCTATCTTCTCTCTATATCTTCTCTCTTTTTCTACACTCTATCCACCCTCTATAGACTAGTCTCTTTCTCTTTCGACTAGACTCGTTTCACTCGTCTAGTTTCTAGCTGCCACCGACTCTATAGAGAGAAAAAAACATCATGGATAGAGAGAGGGGGATAGATACAGCAGAATGGTAGAGCACTATACAAGCTAGTCAGTGTTGCTCCACTATCTCGCTCTGCTCGATAGTGTCGCGATATATACAGTGATATAATCTATAGAAATGATGTGTCAAGATATTTACTGGTTGGTATGTATTGTGTTGGTGTCATTCCTTTTATCATCTACTCTTGTTGTCTTGTTGTCAAGTTTGTCTACTAACAAGAGCATTTACCAATTATTAATAGAGCAAACAGTATTAGGCTGCAAAAAAAAAAAAACCTTCTTCTCTTGCTATATACAATAAGCGAGAATAATCAAACCTATGTGTTATGCAACTTTGGTAATCAATTTCCCATTTGGCTTGTCACCAGTAAATAATTGGTTCCAAATCTTTGGTATTTTCTCCAATTTTTCTTCAATACTATCTCCAGTTAATGTCTCAACATGATATGCACCCTCTGTTTTAATCTTCCCCTCTTTAACCGCCTTTGACAAAATGTCAATTCCCTCAGGAAACCTTGAAATGTAATCTGTTACTAAAAATCCAGAAACCGTTAATGAATTGACAGTTATTTCTCCCCAATTGGTAATCTTTGGCGACTCGCTAGAGTTGTAGCTTGAAATGGAACCACACGATATAACACGTCCATATTTGGCCATCTTTGTCAAGGCAAAACTCAATATTTCACCTCCAACATTGTCATAATAAACATTGACCAACTTGTCTCCCAAATACTTTGTAATCTCTTGCTGATACCCGGAATCCTTGTAGTTGACACATAAATCGGCACCTAATCCTTCAACCCATCTGCACTTTTCAGCAGACCCCGAAATACCAATAACTTTGGTCGCACCTAGTAAATGTTTGGCAATTTGAACAACAATAGATCCCGTTGCTCCAGAAGCTGCACTAACCAACACAATCAACTCTTTTGGCTTTTCACTAAAGTACTTCTTCAAGCCTCCAGCTTCAGTCAACCCAAATAACGCAGTCAACGATGTCATTCCTAATACAGACAAAAAAAACTCCAACGGAAACCCTAAGCTCTTATCAATGGCATTAATAACAGTTTTTTCTTCAACAATGATATAATCAGCCCAGAAAAACTTCCCATTGACAATATCTCCTTTTTGGTATTTTTCACTCTTGCTCTCAACAACTTCTGCAATAGCCAATGAGCTCATAGGCTCACCCTCATAAGTAGGCTCAACGTAATACCTCTTGTTGCTATTTTTGGATCTTATCCAACCCCTTTGTGTAGGGTCATTCGAGATTAGCAAAGTCTTGACTAATAATTGACCATTTTGCAATTCGGGAATAGCCGTTTGTTTAATGGCAAACGTAGAACTTGGCTCGTCAAAGTTGGGATTGACAAAACCTGTAGGTGCTTGTCTAAGAATAACTTGAGTAGAGTCCTTGGGAATCGCCATTTCTCTAAACCTTTAAATCAAACCTTTATATCTTTCAATCTCTAGATAATTGAACAGATGGAAAATATTACACTCAACTTGTGTGAATATATACATATATATATATATATATATATGCAAAATACATTTTACATAACTATGGAGCCTCCATCTAGAAGCAACTTTAGCTTTCTAAAACAAATACAAAGAGAAATAGAGAGACAGAGAACAAAGTATCTCCATTGTCTAACTCCGAACAATTCAAACCCGAGAGATGTCGGAGTATTATCCTCTTTTTCCATTTTTATATTTCTTTTCCTTTCATTCTCCGTCATTGCTACGGGAAAAAAAAAAAAAAGAATACGAGTTGATTAGTAAGAGTAAAAAATGAGGAGAGAATGCTTCCTACTTACATTTAGGAATTATCCATCTTTAATCATCAGTTATTCTCTACTAAAAGTATTTATAAAACTCTCTTTGGTTTGATTTGATTTGATTTCGCTTCACTTCACTTCACTTCCAATGACTTTTTCCTCTTTTTCCTCTTTGTTTTTTTTTTTTTTTTGTTTTTTATTTTGTTTTATTACTTTTTACAATTTGGTTCTTGGACTCTCATATCCACTAGCTCTTGCAGCGCTATCTTCATCGCGCATAGCCTTTTCTTTATTCCAGCTCAATAAGTTGACATCTCCTGTTCGTCTAGGCTTGAGGAAATTCACAACCAACAAGACCAATCCCAAAAAGAAACAAATTCCTCCACCCACCATCCAGCTTATGCCTAGGAAGTAATTCTTGCCACCAATAACAGATCGCTGCGAAATGTAGATGTATTTCTTTCCATTGTAGGGCAAAACTGGGAAATGCAATCCAATATCAATTTGGTACAATCCTTTTTGCAAAGTTGCCGAGTCATTGCGAAGTGCTAATTTGTTGAATGTCGCTAAAGCTGAAGGTCGCATCCAGTTTTGGAATTGCGGCCATTGGGAAATATCGGGAATATTTGTTTCGTTATAGCCATTGGGGAACATCTTGTACCAGTTTGGTGGGGGCACCACTTCTGTATAATTGTACTTGGTCTTTTTAAATCTATTCTTGTCGCTTGCCCAGTTTGTTCCCTTTTCTGTAAGTATCACAGTGTGATCCTCGTCTGTGTTATTCACTGCTTGCAAGGCCGCCGAGTAAGTATCGTTAAACAAGCTATTGGCAATCAAGCCACACGGATAAATTTTTGTACCGTTTATTTGTGATAATGGTTCACAGTTTTGCCCTACTGTGTCCTTAATAGTACTGAGAGATGCACGTTTCCCATTGATTTGATCTTCACTGAAAGATTTAACAAAACGTCGATGATTGGCATAGAAATTGTGCAAGCGGTAGTATAAATATATAGGACCTTTTATATCCTCTAGCACTTGAAATTGAACTTGACAAACTCTCCTCTCGTCTTCGAATGGCTGTGAATCATCTACTGCCAATTTCCAACTGAAACTTGAGTGATCTGAATCATATTTCTTCCGATAATTGTACTCTGTAAAGTTTACAGGGATTTTGGTCCAATAATTCTCATTCGCCATGTTTTCACATTGCGAATAGTCAATGGAGATGTCGATAATTCTGTGCGAGGCATACCACATTGCTGCTCCAAGTGGCACAAATACAATTGCAATAGCCATCAATACAGGAATCACCGTTTTTGCCGTGAAAACTGGGTTATACGATTTCAACCTTTGCTGCTTAAATGCATTATCTGATGGCTTTCTAGTTTTCTCTTTTTTCTCTGGATCTAATGGCTCATCATCTTCTGATGCTGAATCTGAATATTCATATCGCTCTTCGGGATTTTCATTAAATGCCGCATGATTACGAAGCGTGTCGTCCCCTTCTATATTATTATTTGCCAATCCGGCTTCAGCTTCTCCAGAATTGTAAGAATTATAATTATACTGTTCAGTCATAGTTGACACTAGACCTAGAAAGCAAGGGGGGGAAGGAAATATCTTATAGCGCTAAAGAAACCTGATTAAACTGATTAAACTGATAAATGATTTCACTGAAAAATTTCCCCGAACGGGAATTCTATTCCTCTCTCTTTCTCTCTCTCTCTCTTTTTTTTTTTTTTTTTTTATTCCTCCGCCATTAACAACCGAACTCTCCATATAACCGATTTTTCATATTCTCAATGATGATGAGATAACGAGATAAAGAAACAGGGTAAAACTCTGAAACAAGTTGGGTCAGCGCACAGGTTATGTCCTACTTGAAAAAGGAAGAAAGAAGAGGCTTTTGGTAACGAGATTGTCAGGACTATTTTTCTAATGTAATTATTGGTTTCATCATCTTTTATCATCTTTCACCTTTCACCTTTCACCACCTTCCACCGTCTTTCACTAGCTTCTACCAGTTTCTACCTTCTCTGTAGGTGCACTTATATACCCTGCTTTCTTCCACTATAATTGCAAAATTTTCGTTCAAAAGATGTCCCAATTGGGCCATCTCTCTCGTTGATCTAATAGCTCGCGGAAATTTTTCACCCATCATTTTCTATACAATCAACTTTAATAGTAGTCTGTATTCCGAGAAAGCAATTCTTTAGAGAAGATATGAGTCTCGAAGACGCCAAACAGTTGGATAAGAGATTCCCAACTTACAAGCATGAATTCAACGTCCCGACGTTTGAATCGTTAGGTATCAATAATTCTCAATTTCCGCCTACAACAGAATCGATATACCTTTGCGGCAATTCTCTTGGACTCATGCCTAAACAAACTTCAAAGGCTATAAATAACGAGTTACAGGCTTGGTCAATGCGAGGTGTTGAAGCGCACTTTAACCACCCTGGCGAGCCTAAGCTCACTAATTGGGTAGATATCGACTTGCCTATATTGCCTATGCTTTCGCAAATTGTTGGCGCTAATCAGAATGAAGTTGCAGTAATGGGATCCCTTACATCTAATTTGAATGCCTTATTAATTCATTTTTACAAACCTCTTGGGAAAAGAACCAAGATTCTTTTTGAAAAACAAGCGTTTCCTTCTGACTATTATGCGTTTTTGAATATCGTTAAACTTTTTGGATTTGATGAATCTCACTTGATACAAATCGAAGTCCAAGCAGGGGAAACATACTTGAAAACTGAACAAATCATTGATGCAATTGACAAAAATTTCCCAGAATTAGCATTGGTTTGTTTGCCAGGAATACAGTACTATACGGGCCAATATTTTGAAATTGAGAAAATTACAAAGTATATCAAATCGAAAAGTGGTGATGAGAATATACCAGTGGGATGGGATCTTGCTCACGCTGTGGGTAACGTGCCGTTACAATTGCATAGTTGGGGAGTTGATTTTGCTGCCTGGTGCTCTTACAAATATCTAAATTCTGGCCCAGGTGCAATTGCTGGTATATTCGTACATGAAAAGCATACAGCACAGAATACTTCAGACAGTTACAAGCCAAGATTAGCAGGATGGTGGGGGAATAATAGCAAAGAACGGTTTAAGATGATTGAGAAATTCGATCCAATTGCTTCTGCACTAAGCTATAGGCAGCTGAATCCAAGTGTCATTGATTGTGTGGCGTTACACTCTTCGTTGCAAGTTTTTGACAAAGCTGGCGGTATGCAACCATTAAGAGAAAAGAGCATTGTTTTGACTCAGTTTCTTCAAGAGATATTAGTAAAGAGCAAATACTATATTAAACAAAGTGATTTGGATCAAACGAAATTTGGATTCAAAATACTTACGCCTTTAGATCCAATGCAAAGGGGTTGTCAATTGAGTTTACTATTCCAACCTCACAAGGAAAATAAAGACGAGAATGTGATGGAGAATGTTTTTAAATATTTACACCAATATGCTATTATATGCGACGAAAGAAGACCTGACGTTATAAGAATAGCTCCATTACCTTTGTACAATACTTTTGAAGAAACTTACCGAGCCGCTAAACGACTACTTGAAGCTCTAGACAAATTTGCAATAGTAAACAACAACAACAACAACAACAACAACACATAGATAAATAAATATACATACACAGATATTGTATATATTATATATGATTATTCACGTAAATGGTTTCTACAAAAATGTTAAACTTATAAGTTGTGAGCGTGGTGGAAGTTCTTTCCAGCATAGACAGCCTTGTCGCCCAATTGTTCTTCAATTCTCAAGATTTGGTTCAATTTAGCCAATCTTTCAGATCTAGCAGGAGCACCAGTCTTGATTTGACCTGATCTGATACCAACAGATAAATCAGCAATAAAGGTGTCTTCAGTTTCACCTGATCTGTGGGAAACCATAACACCCCAGTTGGCAGCGTATGAGTCGTTAGCAGCTTGTATAGATTCGGTTAAAGTACCAATCTGGTTGACTTTCAATAACAAAGCATCAGCGGCTTTTGTCTCAATAGCCTTTTTAATTCTGATTGGGTTGGTCACAGTCAAGTCATCACCAACAATTTGAGCTTTGTTTTCAACTTTTGCGAAAAAGTGGCTCCAAGCTTCCCAGTCATCTTCAGCAAATGGATCTTCGATTGAAACAATAGGGTACTCCTCCATCAATTGCTTGTATAAGTCGGCCAATTGTGGACCAGTGAGCCATTTGGATTTGTCTGAATCGGGGTTTTTAAAGTCCAAGTCGTAGAGACCATCCTTGTAGAATTCAGATGAAGCAACATCCATAGCAATGTCAACTTTACCAGTGTAACCGGCAGCTTCAATGGCAGAGACAATCAAGTCTAAAGCTTCCTTTGGAGTTTTGATATCTGGAGCAACACCACCTTCGTCACCAACATTACCGGCGGATTGACCGTATCTTTTCTTGGTTAAAGTTTTCAAGTGGTGGTAAACTTCTGAACCGATTCTTAAACCATCGCTAAAAGTTGAAACACCAGATGGAACAATCATAAATTCTTGGAAAGCCAAGTCACCACCAGCGTGGGAACCACCATTCAAGACATTTTGGAATGGGACTGGTAAAACGTATTTATCCTTTTTAGAGTTTGAGAGGTCAGCAATGTGTTCGTATAATTCAACACCCTTTTGAGCAGCACCAGCCTTAGCAGCAGCTAATGAAACACCAAGGATAGCATTGGCACCCAATTTGGCCTTGTTTGGGGTACCGTCCAATTTTAATAAAAATTCATCAACCTTAGCTTGATCGACAACATCAATGTTAGCCTTGACCAAAGCTGGAGCAATAATGTCGTTAACGTTTGAAACAGCTTTCAAAACACCCTTACCTAACCATTTTGATTTGTCACCATCTCTCAATTCCAAGGCTTCGTGAACACCAGTTGAGGCACCAGAAGGAACAATTGATCTGAAAGTACCCTTTTCAGTAGTCAATTCGACTTCAACGGTTGGGTTACCTCTTGAATCGTAAACGTATCTGGAGTGAACTTTTGAAATAGCCATTTTAAACAAGTTTATTAAACCTTTTTTTTTGTCTTAATTGCAAAGAAGGAAAAGAGAAGGAAAAAAGGGAAAGAAAAATTTCAATAAACGAATTTACAGGAAATTACAGCAAATAAATAAACCGTCAAAGTTCAATTGTTAACCCCTTTGCGAGGATTTGAACTTTTGTTGAAAAAAAAATTTAGTTACATCTGCACAACCACGGTTTTTCTTTTGACTTCTGGATCACTTCAATCCGCTCAAATATTTTTAGGTTACACATAAACTTTTTTTTTTTTTTTTATTAAGACCTTGTTAACACTCCCCTGTCCCGATGCAGATAAAAAACCACTCTCCATAGTGATCCGTAAAATAAACCTTGTGGTTAACAGCTGAAAGCAAAATAGATGAAAAAAAAAAATTACCTATTGTGACGTGATTTGTAGACCAACAGAGAGCCGAACTGAACTATTCGGAATAGCGGTATATAGTAGTTAACACGTCATTTGAATGCTGTAAATACTCTTTGTCTGTTTAAATAAACTCTATTGTTGTGACAGTTTCTACTTTGCAGAGAGCCACAGCAAAGTAGAAATGTCTATAAGGAGAAGCTTATGAGGAGAAGCTTATGAGGAGAAGCTTATGAGGAGACAAGACGCTTCTGAGGAGACAAGACGCTTCTGAGGAGACGCTTGTATAGAGACGCTTATGAGAAAATGCCTATGAGAAACCCTCACAGGAAAACTCTCACAAGGATACGTTTTGTTTAAAAACTCCGGGGTAACAAAATTTCAGAGTAATCGAGATAATATTGCACTAAAGGAGCAATTGACTGCACAGAGGAGTTATTGACCCATTAGCCATTGACCCATTAGCCATTGACCCATTGACCCATTGACCCATTGACCCATTGACCCATTGACCCATTGACCCATTGACCCATTGACCCATTGACCCATTGACTCTTGCTAATTCTTTGTACACGAAAAACAAGCCAGTAAGATAGTATGCTAGCAAGATAAGCAAGTTCAGTACAAATGCATGCGAAAATTCAATTTCAAAGTCAATTTCCATTTTTGGCACCATCTCAATTATCAGCACAACCTAAATCATCTATATATACACAATCTCTAAACAATCCCTAAACAATCTCTAAACAATCTCTAAACAATATCTGAACAATCTTTACATCAGCAAAGCTAAAGGTGACACAAGTGATTCACAATTACTTGCCTATCGTTTGCTCTTTCTTTGCCAGTACTTGCCTATCATTTGCTCTTTCTTTGCCAGTACTTTTATATCATTTGCTCTTTCTTTATAAATGCCTGCAAGTGCCCGCAAGAGCTTTCAAGAGCTTCCAAGTATTTGCAAGTGGTTTACTTGAGCTCTAACGTGTGATTTCACTGATGGAACAAAACACGGTAGCCCCCAGTTTCGCACATGGTAGCACACAACTTCCATGGCTCTTCTCACAAACAACAATTACCGATTGCAAAGACTAGATACAAAGATATAGACTTTTCCCCACCAACGATTATGGCTGCTACAGATGAGAAGAATCAGGCTAAACCACAAGAGACTCTGACAACGGCCACTTCGGGGTCGTCTACAAAATCACAAACTCAGCCAGATAAATCCGATAAACCAGATAATCTGGAAAACATCGAGACCAAATCAACAACTTTACTGAAAAGTGAAAATAAAGGGAAAACCACCACCACTACCACTACCACTACCACCACCACCACGGGGACATCGCCGCTGTTAACAAACAATGCCAATTCCTCTCCTACCAAGAACCAGCAGCCCAAACCAAGCACAGAAAAGTATAATAAATTGAAAACAAAACTAACGCAGCAAATTCTCAAAAAGCAAGAAATAATTGCTAAATTGTCAAAACTAGAAGACGCTATATATCAAAAAGAAACAGACTATTTTGAGGAAAGTACAATAGGAAATATAGTTAAAGGATTTGAAAACTTTTCAAAACTAAGTGGCGGAGGATCAGGTTCTGGAGCCGGTGGTGGTGGATCATTTGGTGGTGCGGGAGGTAGCTCTAAGAGACGAATAGTGTACACAGAAAATGACCATATCTTTAGTTTAAGCTCGATCAATTTTGTCAAGAACATGAAAAAGAAACATGGGTCGAATTACAATGGATCAGCCGTGGTAAGTTCTAGTAATGGAACTAGTACAAAACATGACGATTTTGATGATTATGAAGATTCGGTAGATCCAGCTAATGCACATACAGCAGGGGTTAAGTTGACATTGAACGTGGGAGCAGGTGGAGGAGGAGGAGGAGGAGGGACAGGAACAGTAGGAGCAGCATCAACAGCATCAGCAGCAGTTTCAGGAGCAGTAGGAGGAGGAGGAGGAGGAGGAGGAGACAAAAGTGATAATAGTGTCTCAAGCACACCATCGCGGAAAAGAAAAGCACGAACTATAGAAGATTGAGTAAATATCCCTCGGGAAAGGGGAATGATATGAAGAAAAGGCACTTTATTTATGACCGTTCTATTGTATATTAAGACCAACTTATATACGGTCCAAGCTAATCTATTTACAGCTCACTATCAAGGAACGAGATAGTGAGTAGTCGCCTACCTCTATGGGCAACATAGTATACTCACTATCTCGTTCCTCAATTGTGAGTAGTCGCCCACCTCTATGGGCAACATAGTATACTCACTATCTCGTTCCTCGATAGTGAGTAGTATTAATTTTTGGGAGGAGTGTATGCATATATCCAAGGCTTATTAGGTGGATAATCTGTAGGTACTCTCATTTCAAGAGGGAATGTTGTAAACTTTTTAGAGTTCTTTGCCGAGTTTGGTTCGAGCTCAACTTTACCCCCACCAGCAGCCTTAAATAATTCTGGACTTGTCATTTTCAAATCTTCCATCGCGTTATAAATGCTCTCATACTGCAATCTTAGTTGTTCGGTTTGCTTTTGTTGTTGTTTCTGTTTAAAAAGTTTCCATGCGTTCATAATGGTTCTATGTTTGATCAAATCTTCATTGCATAGTCTAAGTAATTTTGGCTGCTTTCTACTTGCAGATAATACCGATAACTGATTCACAATTTTTTGCGTTGCTGAGCTTAATGGTACTTGCTCATTTCGAGCCAGTTGTCTCTTGAAACGAGCAAAAACTTTCAACGGCTGTAGTATCAACGACCGGTCTGTGATCTTAATCTTACTTTGTGACAACATTACAGGAAGTAAACCTTCTACCACAGTCAACAACTTACAAGCTTTACTATTAGTTGAGTGAACAACTTACAAGCTTTACTTACTAGTTGAGTGAACAAAATCAATGGGGGGTCTTTTGGCTGAAATTTTTCACTCAATGTCAATGTCGCAAATGAAAGCTCACTTCAAGTGTTCAGTGTCTCAAATATTTACGACACTCGACCAGATCAAACGAAATAAGAAACGGAGATTGAGAGAGCAATGACCCCTAGGGAAGAAACAGGAATAGAAGAACCAAACGGGATAAGAAGGACCTGTGAATTTATACGACTGTAGACGCAATTGCTACAACTCCAATCCCTTTTGAAAAGTTTTCCACTTGTTTAAAATGTCCGAAGAAAAAGAAAGATTGAGACAAAAATACGAAAAAGAAGAGCAATTAGCATATAATGGTAGTAGTAGTCATGGTGGTGGTGGATTGCCCGAAGCGCCACCAGCTTATGAGGATATTCAATCGCAGCAAAATCCATATACTAATGAAAAGCTTGATTACGAGAAACCACCACAAGCAAATGACCACAACTTGGTTGTCAATCAAGATCAACCTAACGTATACAAAACTAAACCCGAATTGGTGAATATTAATGATGCTCCGGCAGAGTACTTGAACCCACAGTATGCCAAGTTTAGACAAAATCAACAATCTAAAGTAGCTAGAGGCGAGCATGCTAATTGGGACCCGAAACCTTTATTAAACCCAGGTCACGTGAGCAACCAAAAAATACAACTGTCATTTCCAGGAAAGAGCGGTGCTACATATCACAATGCAGCAGACAAACAATAAAGACATTTCATTTACTTCTCAAAGACATCCTCGTCTTCTCCTTTACCTTTAGTAAAAAAAAAAAAGAAAAAGAAAAACAACCTCAGTTACAAAACGTCTATTGGGGGTTTAGGTTGGTTTAGGTTGGTTTTTTTTTTTTCATTTTCATTTTCATTTTTTTATATTTTATTTTATGTATATTAGTTTTTTATCCAGATGCTTATCCTCTTTTTATTTTTATTTTTTGTATTACAAAACGTTATCTCCATTATAAGTCCATCCACCAAATTGTTTCTGTACACTTTCAGTTAAGAAATCGTCAACGACGGAATCCTGAGGTTTTTCATTAGTAAAATCTTGATCAAAGTTTGAAGTGTCCAAAAGATTTTCAACATTTGGCTTGAATGGAGGTAAATAACTTTTATTTAATAGTTTATTCCAATCAATATCTTTGAAAAATGGATGGTTTTTAATTTCTTGTGCATCACTTAGCCTTTGCAGTGGATCCTTTTGTAGTAGTTTTATAAGCAAATCTTGAGCATCTGTATTTTCTAAAAACGGGGGGAAACGTAATGGATTTTGTAAAATTTTCTTATACATTGTTGCCGAGTCAGAATCATAGAACGGAGGTAATCCAGTTAACATCTCATATAGCAAAGTACCCAAAGTCCACCAATCCACACTTCTGGTATAGCCTTGATTTAAAAGTAATTCTGGCGCAAGGTACTCGGGAGTACCACAAAATGTATTGGTTTTGTCATCGTTGCTCATGTTCAATTTACATAACCCGAAATCACAAAGAGCAATGTGACCTTGATAATCCAACAAGATGTTTTCTGGTTTCAAATCTCGATAAATGACATTTAATTCATGAAGACTTTCCAATGCCGCCAACAATTCGGCAATGTAGAATCTTGACCGGTCCATAGTGAATTTCCCTTCCCTTTGCAAATGCCAAAACAATTCTCCACCATTTATAAATGAAAGGACAAGGTATAGTTTTTCTGGAGATTGAAACGAGAATTTTAATGGTACAATAAATGGATTATTGATTCTAGCCAAAACAGTCCTCTCAGCTAAAGTATGCGTCACTTCCATTCTGGAAACAATATGCTGTTTACGTAAGGTTTTCAAAGCATAGATTTGCTTAGTGTCTTTCTTGACAACTTGCATAACCTTACCAAACGACCCCTTTCCAATTACTTTCAATAAATCAAAATCGTCAATTGTAAGATGCTTCTTGGTCAATGGTTTAAACTCAATAGTAAGCATAATTTCTCCCATGTCTTTTGTTGAAGCCAGGTCTTGTAAATTGGCATTATAATTTGAAAACTTCAAATATTCATGATGCATAAGTCTAATTTGTTGCGTATGCGATTTGAGATTCAACGGTAACTTAATAGAACCAATTAATAAATCTCCAATATTAGCAGCAGGGGATGAAGATGAAGACGACGAATTAGATGTCACAGATCCGCGTAAAGGCAGTTTTTGTCGTTGTTGTTGTCGTTGTTGTTGTTGTTGTTGTTGTTGTTGCTGCAGCAGCTGTTGCAGTTGTTGTTGTTGCAGCTGTTGCAGCTGTTGCAGTTGTTGTTGTTGTTGTTGTTGTTGTTGTTGTTGCAGTTGTTGTTGTTGTTGTTGTTGTTGTTGCAGTTGCTGCAGATTATCAGCTTGGAAATTGGTGAATAAATGTTTGTTTTTCACCTTTTCACTTTCCGGTATCAACATATTTGGAAGTCTAATAAATAAATTTAAATTGAGAAACTGGGAATTGCTAGGGGAGGACTTGTTTGTAACATCAAACGAGACCACTTGATTCCATGTAGATTGGCTAACAGTTCCCTTCTGTGGTTCAATCACAAGGACATTGTTGTCAAACTCAATAGTTAAATAAAGTAAAGATTTAACCAAATTGTCAGCATTTGGTATCGAAATGATTGAGGGTAAAAAATTTGTTGCAATAGAGCCCGGTAAATATCCTCCAAAGTCATTCTCTTCTTCCAATAATCCCATATTCTTCAACAACTGCTGGCCTAGGGCCACATTGTTTGAGTTGATGGCCAAGGCATGCAAAATTTGTTTGTTGTTGTTTATCTTTATAGGAAGTTGTATATTTTGTGAGCCGTAGATTTTGACAGTTAGCAAGCCAGGAGACGAAGCTGCACCCGGTTGATTGTTTGCTTGTTGAAACTGCTGATCCAAATTGGAGCTAGACGAAGCATGACCTAAGGACGTAGCTTGCGACGATGAGGGAGAACCATTGTATTGAGAAGAATTTGAAGTTACATTTGATTCTGTTGAAGGTGGTTGTAGCAAGCCATTTGTATTTGAGTCTTTACTCTTTTCTGACAAGTGGCCGGATTTGTTGGCGACATGGTCGGAACCGTTAGTTTGAGGAGATTCGTAGGTATTCTTGCCATCAGTGACCGACAAGTTGGACACGTTGTCAGCTAGTTTATTCACCGATATCGTTTTTCTCGCATCTTCAATTGCGTTATTTTCAGACGTGTTTCTAATGGGCGGAGGTGCAGGAACAGAAGCAGACGATTGACCTGGGGAAGCGGCAGAATTGTCAGCAGCAGTGCCACCGGATGGCGATTCACTTGATTCACGGCCATTATGGTGTTTTTCCGATGAAGAGCCAAACTTCAATTTGTTCTTGAATTTAAACATAACTTGTCAATATTGCAGATTGCAGTTCTAAAATGTTGGTTTCCTTTTTTGTAGGATGAGGGAGCTTTCTTTCTTGAAGGGGGGGGGGGGGGGGGGGGGGGGCTTGTCACATGGTTGATTGCATCC